AAATAGTGCTGATGAGACCCAACGGCTCACAGCATCCTGTTCATTGGGTGAATCAGTGAATTATTTAATAAACGTTGACCCGGTATTCAGTATATGCCAGGTTCTCAGACTCTTTATTTACCTGATTGGAATGCTACAGTAAGTTCAGGACTACAAAATCAGGACCATAACTCAGTTCGCCAGCACACCACGTGCCCCCACCCAACATGTTCTCTTTCTTTATCTAGCATGTCACTGCCACCCTCAAGGCTCAAAGAGCGCTGTATGTGACCAAATAACGGGACAGTGCGCCTGCCGGGGGGAGGTGGCTGGCCTCCGTTGTGATCGGTGCCTGGCAGGCTACTTTGGATTTCCCAACTGCCGCCCTTGCCTTTGTAATGGTTTCGCTGAACTTTGTGATCCAGAGACAGGGTCATGCTTCAATTGCGGGGGTTTTACAACAGGAAGAAACTGTGAAAGGTATGGAATTCAGATGCACTTTGATTTTTAGTTTTGTTTCTTTTGTTCCAGTCTCACAACACTCTCTGAAGGACCGCTGAGTAGATTATCAATAGTATTTAAGCGTAGAACGATCTCTGGGTGGGGGATGGCCGAAACAGAGTATCAGTCCTGGTGTCCTTCAGAATCTTGTTATGAGATAGACGCTGTCTGATTAAATAAAAGCTAGGCATTTATTTGCCTGACACCTTGCTTTTTATGTCCCTGAAATATGACATGTAAATTAACTGCTACTATATTGAGTTTAATGACAATACCTTGGGACTTTTATATTGAGTTTAATGACTATATCTTGGGACTTTCAGTATAAATTTAAAAAATCACTTCGGGGCGCCTGGGTGGCTCAGTTGGTTGAGCATCCGACTTCAGCTCAGGTCATGATCTCGCAGTTCGTGAGTTCGAGCCCCGCATCGGGCTCTGTGCTGACAGCTCAGAGCCTGGAGCCTGCTTCAGATTCTGTATCTCCCCCTCTCTCTCTGCTCCACCCCTGCTTGTGCTCTGTCTCTCTCTGTCTTTCAAAAATGAATAAACATAAAAAAATTTTTAAAAAAAATTTTTTTTTTAACGTTTATTTATTTTTGAGACAGAGAGAGACAGAGCATGAATGGGGGAGGGTCACAGAGAGAGGGAGACACAGAATCTGAAACAGGCTCCAGGCTCTAAGCTGTCAGCACAGAGCCCGATGCGGGGCTCGAACTCACGGACTGCGAGATCATGACCTGAGCCGAAGTTGGATGCTTAACCGACCGAGCCACCCAGGCACCCCCAAAAAAGTTTTTAATAAATAAAAATCAAAAACTCACTTCACAGAGCAAGCAAGCATCTTCTAAAATGTTGACTTTTGAGAGTTGCACTGTCCTCAAGCATGGCAAATCCACATCGGCTAATGTGAGTTTTTCCTGTGAACACTTGGTAAAAAGAAATTGTCTCGACAGGTGCATCAATGGTTACTATGGGGATCCTCCTTCAGGACACTCCTGCCGTCCCTGCCCGTGTCCGGATGTTCCCTCAAGTAATCAGTATTTTGCTCATTCCTGTTATCAGGATCCTTGGAGCTCAGATGTGATCTGCAATTGTCTTCAAGGTTATGCAGGTACACAATATAGTTCATGATGGTGTTTTTCTCCCATCCCATACTGCTATCTCAAAACACGATTCCATGCTCATAATTTATCTGCCTCGAACAATTGAGGGGTACCGAATATGAGTTAATAGCAAGAAGACACAATTTGGGGAGTGCCTAGGTAGCTTAGTCGGTTGAACATCTGACCCTTGATTTCAGCTCAGGTCACGATCTCATGGTCCTGGGATTGAGCCTGGCATCCAGCTCCCTGCTGAGTGTGGGCTTCAGCTTGAGATTCTCTCTCTCTCTCTCTCTCTCTCTCTCTCTCTCTCTCTCTCTCTCTCTCTCTCTCTGCCTCTCTCCTTCTCCCTCCTTCTGGCCCTCTCTCTTGCTCTCTCTCTCTCTAAAAAAAGAAGGCACAACTTAGTACACTGAAGCTTTACTGAACAAAGAATTTGAATGTTTCAAAAACCAATGACAAAAGCTCATTCCTCTGAGCTATAACTGTTTTTAAATAATGTTCTGGAAAACTAACTGACCAAATGAGTTCAAATCAAATTGATTTCTTTCAAATAAAATCATCACATGTTAAGTAAGATACATATGTGATTAAGTAACATGTATGTCTTATACAACATCTAACATAAGCAATTAAAAATTAAGAAATTTTAATCAAATGCTTTCTTTATATAATTCCAACCAATCCATTTGGCTGATATTTCAAAGATATAACTTCTTTTTTCAGACGTCTTGAAGCACTGATTTGGGCATCACACAGACACTGTAGAAGTCAATTCAATATTTTTGTCTGTCTCTCTACCAAACATTTTATTTTGAAGAGTTTAAGCATGAGTGTGTGTGTGTGTGTGTGTGTGTGTGTGTGTGTGTGTGATGCAAACAAGGAAAAAAACATAAAAGCCACTCGACTTAATCATATTTTGAAACTCTGGTGCCGAAGTTTTCTTCAATGATAATTACCGTGATGATAATAAATTATACGGCTAATTTTGTCTTATTTGCTGCCTATGTCTCTACAAGATTCTGATCTCTTCCATGTACATTTTGGCTTGGTTGGTCAGTTTTTAAGAACTAAGGCCATGACTGGCCGACAAGAGAATTCCTAACTAGGATGACCCAAAATGAGGGGAGCAGACCCAGAGTTGAGGCACCTAACTGACTACCATTGCCCGGTGGTTGGAAAGGTAACAGGCATGGTTTCCCCAGACGGCACTTGATAAAGACACCCTCCAGGGTTCGTACATCAACAAAACCACTGTCACCATCTTCACTGCTAGACACACATCTCAGGGTGCTGCACGTTCACCTCCAGGACCAGAACAGGGGCTCAGATTAGCTTTGGGTCCCAAGGCACACTCGGGTGACCCCCATTATATAAGGATCCAGGGATCCCTGTGCCCACCACTCTGTGGTTTTTGAAGAAAGACTAGAATGCACTCTTGCATTCTTCACTAAGGACTTCTTAGTTCTGAACAACCATTTTACTCTCTGAATGGATAAGAAATTAAAATGAACGTTTTGCTTTAATTCAGAACACGTTTTCTTCTTCATCTCCAGTGTGTGACCTCCCGTTACCCCTAAAATCGCCTAATTATTCATTATTCTCTATAACAGTCTCCATCCCTGCTCCCCCAACACACACACACACAC